TCTTTTTAAGTGGGAGAACTTGCACAATTGGTGGCTGACTAAATATTTTGCCCCACTGTATTTGTCTTATTTATATTAAAAAGATGGGCCAACAACTAATTAACACAAATATGTTGCCACAGTCCTTATACAAATAATGGCCAATGGCAACAGAAAAGTGCTGCACATTTTTTTCTTAATAGTAAGCTGAGATATACATGTAAAAGGAAAGGTTAAGCAAAATAATTGAACTAAATAGTACATAGTAACAAACACTGTCACAGAACCTGAATTAGATTATTTAAATTACATAAAATGCATTTGACATATTTCTCTGCCCACTGACAATGCTGGACAAATGTGCGTGCAGGGTGGGGTGGGGAGTATAAGACTGCCCAGTAACACTAGAGATTAACTATGGGACTGAACATTCCACTTATCTATCCGATCTGTTAATGAGGTACTCTTCTGAATCAACACAGCAGTGTCCGTGGGTATGTGTGAAAACAGGGAAGTTGATGGGATGCAGCATCATAATTGAAGCCCTGCATTTTTTGTATGTGTGTTGATGTTGCATGCACTTAAAAAGGGGCAAGGTTTCAATTACAGTGTTGTAAATATCACTTTGCCTGTTTCGACTCCCCTGCAGAGGCCACTGAACCAACAAGTGCATTTTTTCCAGATATGTATTTTTAGTATGATGCGATGGCTTTTCAACTGTGCCTGATCTAATAGTTTGAAATTGCAGTGTCACTCACCTGTCGAACATAATTGATTTGAGCTTCTTGCTCAATATCTGAATCTAATTCTGGCACATCAGATAAATCAGAATCTGATTCTTCACTGTGTGAATCTATGCCACATTCTGCAGAAGGGATGAAATAATATTAATTATTAAGGAGCAATTCAAAAAAATAAACCCCAATGCTAGGAAACAGATGTAAAATCTCAGTTCTGACATTTAAAACATTGGCAAAAGACCTTGGACATAGTGAACATTTCTGACTTGACAGTAAAATATACAGAATGATCTAAGCCAATGATGAAAACAAGGAACAACACTGAATAAGCATATCCCCTTTTCAGTGATCCTTTCCATGAATTTCCAAGCTGGGTCTAGAGGTTAAAATAAAAGGGAATGTACATGTTAGACTTGAGTATTCCAGGGGAATAATGATTAAAAGTTTTCATTTAAATCATTGGGACCTTTTTGTTCAAATGTATTTCAACATATGGAAAACAAATTTATTACCTATATGGGCTGTTTCAGAGATTCCAGTTGTTACACCTTCTGGAATAAACCGCCACTGAAAAACAGAATGATCTGCACCTCCTGTACTTATTACCCATTGAAAGTCATGTGACCAGTGGACATTTGTAACATGAGCAGAATGGCCAACATATTTTCTGAATTTTGCTCCTAGAATTAAAAAATAAAGATAACTGAAATAAAATCTGATTAAAAAGTCACCATACATACATATACACACAACACATACACAGATATATATGAAAGTTATTGTTAATTTTATAAAATGACTTTTTAGTATACTTAGCATGAAATCTCAAAAAATGATGCAACTGATCCACATATACAGAAATGTTCTTTATTTTCCCAATGGTTGGTAGTTTGGGTAAAATGCATTTTTTAGTCATCTATGTTACTTAATCCTTCTTCATGTTGCTGGATAACAGATTTAGATCATTACTAATTCAAAACACTAATAATGATCAATTTAGTAGTACTGTACAGGTACACCTTGCTTAGCGACCACAGTTGGGACTGGCAACTCCATCACTAAGTGGAAAATCACATAACTATGACCTACAGTTTTACTTCTGCATTTTCCATTAACTCTGCTTGTCGCAAGCAAATTGGGAACCCCCAAATGGTGATCATATGGGATGCTGCGACAATTGTAAGCGTGCAGCAGTTGCAAAGCATCCGAATGGCTATCACATGACCACGGGATGCTGCGATGGTCATAAATGCGAGGATTGGTCACAAAGCTGTTTTTTTTACACTGTTGTAACTTCAAATGGTCGCTAAACAAGGCAGTCGGTAAGTGAGACTACCTGTAACATACTGTTAATACAAAGCTCTTATTTCAGTCTCACAGATACATAAGATCAAGGATCTGTATGCTATTTTCCTAGGATGCTGTATACCATCTTACCATGTAAGGCAATAACATATATTTTCATATAATTTTCCACATCTCTATATTTATAAAATAATTGTTTTACAAGGAGACTTAATTTATAAAATTTGAAACAAGCCTTCATAAATACAAATTAAAACTCTACTAAAATTATACAAAAATGAGTAGCAATATCCTACCAGATTAAGTCCATGAATGTCTGGTGCCAATAGGACTTTTTTCTACTGAAGCAAAATCTGCTGATAAAACTGTTAGGATTGTCTATTGATGAATTTGCCTTTATGAACTGATTATTATATTATCTTAGGTGAAAGCCATGGTCAGTCTTTACCATTTTATGTCACCTAAGGGAGATCCATCCGACCATGAAGCTAACACAGAATATCGCTGTTCAGCGTTCTGGAGTCTTGAGGGAGCACTATTTTTTTATCTGCACTGAACCTGAACAATGTGTAGCTGGGTTTCTTTCTCTGCTTTTTGTTCCAGTTCCATCCTGTAGACTGTAAGAATAAACTGAGAGTGGTTTAACAGTCTTGGTCTCTGTCAGGTGAAACTATCTGACTAGCTACATAAATGGAAATATAGCAAGATCAGAAAAATGAGGAGGAGACAATCTTCACTTGCTACATTACACTTCTTCAGACAGAAAGGTAAAGCAATTGGGGGAGGATGCTCCAAAACCATGATACAACTACTGAAAATGGCCTGTTCCTCAGCTGCCACCTACCAGATCTCTAAAGCAATGCCTTCTGATCCTGCACTGCTTTAGAGATCTGGTAGGTGCTGACCTACAGCAAGCACTCAGATGAAAACCCTATTTTTGGAATGATGCAACAGGGCCCACAAGGCATGTGGTAAACTAACCCAATGCCTGAAAAGGCAGAATTATACTTGTTTTCCAAAAATGTCTCTCACTATAATCCTTTTTATACAATGGTACAACCAGTATAAACCAGTCCATGTCTTTATCATTCAAACAGTGGGTCATCAGGAAGGTCAGTCCAAATTATTTTGACTGATTATTCTTATTACACTTGCTACCTTTATTATTGAATATTCTCTTTGATATGTAGCACTAATTTAATGTCACCTCAAATTTTTTACTCAGTTTTATATAGCTTGAAATCTTTTTTCCTCTTCATGGATCACTGCCTTGTCATGGCGAAGGGGCTTGCGTAACTCAGTGAAGCCATGAACTATACCGTGCAGGGCCACCCA